CAACAAATCATCTTTTCCATTAATGTCAAACTTACAAATACATTATTACTTCCTGTGAATAAAACAGATGTAAGAAATGCAGCATGGCAAACATTATGGTTTTTTCAGGTAGGAGAACTGTTTCTTCTTTGGTTACTCACTACCATGATGCTGGAAATGTGTCTCTGAGGATGAGTCCCTGGCTTTTTTATGTGGTCATAGAAAGCCACCTGGGGCCCTGGTCTGGGACCTAACTGAAGGCAATGCCAATTCTGCCACCAGCTCTCCAGGGAGTGGCAGGACCATCCAGGAGAGTGCCAAATCCTCATGGGTTTTGAAGGCACGGGCCCACATGCTTTGGAGAAGAGCCTTACTTCACAAAGCACTACTCTTCTGAACTACTCCTGCTTCCATTGACTTTACTATTTTCCTCCCTTTAATATAATCTTTTAAAGCAGGGACTGTTTTACTCCATTTTAAATAAATGCAGTACACACATATAAAACAATACACACATTTAATGACAGTGAAATAGAGTACCTAATTCCCTGCTTATCAGGAAGCCATTGCCAAGAGACGTGAGAAGATGAAGCAAAATAGAAATTCAACTTCTCACCTTCGACTGAGGCATTTGATTTAAGGGGTGTCTGTGTGCTTTTTTTTAAGGGGAAATGGAACGATATCAAGCTGATGCTAAAAGAGCATGTACTGTAAATCTCTACCCATCTCAGTTCTCTGTGCAGTATGGAGAGGCTGAAAGTATTATCAGTGACCTGAGCTTCCCACTGAAAAAGAAATGATGAAAATACAATACATACAGTCACTACGGAGGGAATCGTTTAGAAGCTGAAAGAGCGGAAAGCTGTCCCAGGTGTCTGGGGGTTGCCCCTCTAACGCAGCATCCATATCCACTGCAAACAGTGACAGGAAGGTCTCCGCGTGCTCAACCATTAAGTCTGACCACCAAGCAAAGGCCTTCAGAGTTGATAGAAAAAGATAATAAAGAAGTATATTAGTTCTAATAAAGCACAGGGAAAGGTGTTAGGCCACATATCTCAAAAAACCAAAAGTGCATCCCATGGAAACTACCTTTATTGTAAATAGAACAGTGCTTTAAAGTGCTAGCCTGCACAGACAGTGCTACTCACAGGAATTAGGCATTGCTATTTTAATACAAAGGTGTCTTGTAGAGGATCTGTTCTGAGCTCCACCGTAAAGGCACGCAGCTGTAACATGGCAGAGAAGGTGTTGTCTGTTCAATTTACAATAAGTTACTTCATTCATCTTTAATTATGCTAACTATCAGAAAAATCAACTAATTCTTATTCTAAAGTAGAGAAATTTGGGAGCTTCTTCACTGTGCTTGTGGGTTTTCTGCTGTACTTTTCAACAGTTTAAATTTTATTTGGATTCACTACTTCTATTTGTCTTGAAAAACTAGAAGCCTAAAACATTAAAATCTGCCCTAAATAACTCACACTCTTCTTTAGAAATATTTAAAGCATCACCAGGAAGTTATTACAGCACTGTTCATTTTACATGGTTAGCTATACACATCCATAGAAACACACTACCACCTTCAGAATGCTGCTGATTAGGAAACCGATTACAAAGCTCTATTATCAACATGCCAAGATTAAAAAAAAAATAAAAAAATCTTCAGCAAGCCTGTATTTTCACAGAGGCAGGAAAAAAATATATCTAAACTTGAAAACCAAAAAAGATCAGTGAAGTAATTCATTCTCATGCACATGGGTCCTTAAAATTCACTGTACGGGCTCTCTAACGTGACATTCACATCGTACATGGCTCAGATGTGAATGCTGCAAACGCATGCATGCGTGTTTAGTAATCACTTCTGGCTGGGAACATGCAATATGAGAAGTGCTGTCGCTAGGACCATGTGCTGTCATTTTGAAGTGATAGGAAATTACTCAGTGACTTAAAGGATCTAAGAAACAGGTTTCCAGCACTTTGCAAGAAAAAGAAACCTCTAGCATAGGCACAAGACTGGAGATGAAACAGAAAAGTCTGTGAATAGATGAATCGGTCTGAAGAGGAATTGCCAGTCTGGGAGGGGTATTTTTTGCAGATTTTAGCAGACATGAACAAGCAGAATGGACTTTCCCTTTCTCAGGGTTCAGTTTTGATTCACTGATGAAGAACTGCACTGATGTGCAGAGCACAGCTCCAGCCGCTGATTCACTCAGCCATGGAGAGGGAGCAGTGCCCCAAAGCCAGGTTACTGCCATGGATTCCTTTAATTCTTCCTACTTTGGCCTAGTTCTCAGCTGCCAGTGACACTGGCAGGGGGTCTTTGGGACTATTTCCACTCCTTTGTTTCCCTAACATATAAAGCAGACTGATGTTCCTCTGCTATTATTCCATGACTTGATACAAAACTGGTGTGAAGACACGGATAGGTTGGAGGTGGCACCGAGTGCTACAAGCCCAGAACACATCTAGGATATAAAATAACCAAAATAACGGAATAACCCTCAAACTAATCTTAGCATTGGGCCCACCCTGTCACGGGGGTGAAGATGTGGATGAGGTGAGCTGTGTCATGAAGGCACAGCTTTGGTGTGCCCAGGCCCAGAGCAGCAACGCCAGTAGGTTACAGCATCCCTGTGGTCACAGCATGGGGACAAGGTGGCTACACTGGGTTCCTTCGTTTGCAAACTGGCCCCAGCCCCATGCTCAGAGGAAGCTGTTGGGCACCGCTGCAGCAACACCTGCCCTGGGGTGCTTGGAAAGCTCGGGGGCAGTGGTGATGGTGGCCCTCGGCCTTTGCAGAGTTGTTACTCTGGTAAAGCCAAAGCTGAGGTGTGGCAGCCTGGAAGGCTAAGCATACATGGCAATGCTCTTCAGCTCTTCCTCCTACGTTTGGTGCTGGTCTCCAACTGAGCACATGGCCAGATGCTTAGGAATGCTGCACTGGGAGAGGTCGAACCGCTGTGAAACCACACAGGAATCAAAAACATCAGGACTCAGGTCTGCTCCCGATGCCTGCTCAAACCTTCTCCCCAAAGTGCAGGTGGGAAGCAGGAGGATGCTGAGCAACAGGGCTGCAGAGAGTCCTTTTAAATTCAGCAGCACTCGCCTGTGGTTTTCTTGGAGGATGCTGGGCTGTACTTGCAATGACGTGGTTTCTCTGGCTGTGCCGCTGCCTGCGAAGAGCCTGCCATGCTGTGTCCCCATCAGACACTGCCCACAGGTCTGTGGGCAAAGAGTGATTGCTATGAAGGACCAATGGCAATTGGCATTTTGGGGGAGGGAAAAAGGGGGAGTCCTGCAATAAAAACCTGCTTCCATGAAAAAGAAAAAAAAAAAGCCAAAAAAAAAAGAAGCTATGTTTGAGAGAAATTATGAAGAAAAGCATGTGATAATTTGTGGAAAAAAAATACGCCCAAACCAGTCACAGTTTCCTTTTTGCTGGAAAAGTCAAATTTTAGCTCTGTAAGTCTCTAACTTATGTCAGGATCCTCAATCTCCCCCTCCGTATTCTCAGTGATCAGGACCTTCCTGTGGTTGAAGCAGTAACACCATAGTCTGCAAATCTCCCTTCAAGATGGTAACGTTCCATTTATTTACCATCTACTTACCTGCTTTGCTCAAAACACAATATAAAGGGGGGAAAAAAAGTGTGCTTTCTAGCCAAACACACCTAATATTGTATATTTTACACATGGATACACATGTATATATGTATAACCTCAAGGAGTTAAAATACATATATACATATACACATACGTATACATAGAGAGAGAAAACAAGTTTAAAAATAGGTGAATGCCATTGTCTCTGGCATTTGTCATCAGTCATCAAGAGGAA